TTTGTCAATTCTTACATGTTGAGAATCTCTGAACTAAACTAAAGGAAGGAGCAGAAATAAGATCTACTTGCAGACAGATCAGCTTAGAAACCTTTCTGCCTTTAAAACAGTGGCCAAATTGTCCTTGTTGTGTGGGTGTAAAGAGGAGAAATTCTAAGTGTTGCTGCTGGCCTGCAGGTTATTTTCTTTTCTCCTTTATAGCCAAAGCTCTATTGCAATAAATGAGCTAATAGAAGTGTTTATTGTTGAGAATATTAAAAAAAATATAAGCACCAGAGCAGCAGTTCCTGGGGTCCCTCATCTGGTTGACTCATTCCATGAAAAGTGACAAATTTTTAGCTATCGAGTCTTGGAACTTCAATGTAAAAATGGGTCTTGCAGTCCATTTGCTCATGAAAGCAGGCTGAAATTTAACTTCACTGTAGTCTCGGGGTAAATAATTTGAGAGAATCCTACCTTCCCTGACTGCTTTCTCTCCTCCAAAAGGTACATTTTGCTGTAATAGAAGAAATGGTCATCCCAGTGGGCAATCCCTTGTCCTCTCTGACCTGCCAGTCCTGATCTGTACTTCAACAAAACCATGTTGAGTGGCTTGATGTCTGATGGGGAGAGTACCTGAAGTAGTTAAAAACAGAGTGATTCCACAGAGGTGGATATTTGACTCTTGGCTTTCTTATTTGTAACAATGCTTGTAGGTGCTATGGGCTGAGCAGCAGTATGAAAAAGAGAGAAGTAAACGGACAGTTCTGAGAGAGTCCGCATTAAATCTCTTCAATGACCCGATGTGGAACCAGCAGTGGTATTTGGTAAGTACCTATAGAACGTGGGTGTTTTATATGATTTCATCTGCACGGTGGATGCTTGACATGGAACATTTTGCAGAGGTCAGGTGATCTGGAGACTAGGGCTGACGGGAAGCTTCTGTGTTTCTGAGAGAAGGTGTCTGAACCACAGATCTTGAGCTATTCGGAGCAAAAGGATTGCTGCCTCTTTATGCTTTCAAGCATATCTGTTTTAAGTGCATTATCTTATGGTGCAGGTTGCTGCTGTTAGAAGATGCTGTCTAGGAACAGAACCCACAGCGAGGTAGTCATTGCCCAGCCTTCACACACATAGGAATCAATTGAAATACTGGGTGTTGGCTCAGGTACATCTTTGCCTTCAGCCTTAGGTACAGCGGAACAAAACCCTGCCTTTTCTTGTCCAGTCCTCCCAAGCATCGCTGTGTGTAAGCCTATTGTTGCGGCTACTGTCAATCTATCTCAATGAAGGTCTTCCTCTTTTCCCCTGACTCTTATCTTATGGGACTGGTCTTACCCGAAAATATACCCAAAGTATGTGAGATGAAGTCTTGCTACCTTCATTTCCAGAATGCATTCCGACTGTATTTCTTCCCAGAAGGGTTTGTTCTTTCTCGTGGCAGTCCATGGTGTATTGTATATCCTTCCCTGACACCCTAATTCAAGCACATCAACTCTTTGATCTTCCTAATTCATTGTCCAGCACAGGGAGCATGGAAAATGCCATGACTTAGTTCAGGTGCACCTTAGTCTTCCACGTAATACCACTGTTTCTTTAATACTTTAAAGGAGTCTTGGGTAGATTTGCTCAATTCAGTATGTTATTTGAATTCTTGGCTGCTATTTTCATGGGCAATGTTGTGGATGGAAATGAAATCCTTAAGAAAGTCAATCTTCTCTTTTCATTTTTTCATGCCCTTGTTTATTGGTCCCGTGAACATTTTGTTTTGTTTTCTTTATGTTGAGGTATACTCTATACCAAAAACCGTGGTCTTTTATCTTCACCAGTAAATCCTTCCAGTCTTCTTCCCTTTCAGCAAGCACGGTTGTACCATCTGTATATCACAGGCTGCTTAAACGTCTTCATTCCAACCTGATGCCAACTTCTTCTTTCTAGAACCTAGAAATAATGAAGTAAAAGAGCTCAGCGGTAGCTTTCTAAAACTGACCAAAGAAGACAGAGTAGAATATCATCACGAAATGTGTAATGACCTGAAGCTAGAAAGCCAAAAGAAAAGACTACGTTCAGCATTTCTCAAGGAGAAAGAACTGAAGCGGGGACTCAAGCCTCACATTGGAACAAGGAAGGATTTTATGACAAATTATGGCGGGAATGTAGTAAGCATCAAAAGAAGATGGGAGGAGTATACAGTCACTGTACCAAAAAGAAATCGTTGATGCTCAACATTTTCAAGAGGGATATGTGATCAGAAACCAATAGTATTAAAGGAAGAAATACAAACTTTACTGAAGGCAGTGCCAGAAAAGAAGCCTCCCGGAAATGCGGGAATACAAAACTGAAATGTTCTGGCCAATGGATGCAATGGTGGAAGCACCCATTTATCAAATGCCAGGAAATAGCAATCTGGCCAAAAGACTAGAAAAGGTTCCTATTTGTGCCCATCCCAAAGAAAAATGATTAAAAAGAATATGAAAATTATTGAACAGTATTATTAATATAGCACACAAGCCACACTTTGCTGGAGATCATGTTAAATATCAACAGAGAATTGACAGAAACTCAAGCTAGATTCAGAAAAGGACATGGCAGGAGAGACCAAATTTTTGAAGTCAGCTAGACGTTGGCTGAAAGTAAAGAATTCCAAAAAGATACTTACCTGTTTTTTATTGCTTAAGCAGAGGTATTAATTCAGCTGTGTGGACCATGACAAATTATGAATAACATTGTGAGGAATGGAAATTTTGAAACACTTCATTGTGCTCATGGGGAACTTGTACATAGACCAATGACAGTCATTTGAACAAAACAAGGAAAGACTTCATGGGTTTGAATCAGGAAAGGTGTGTATCAGCACAGTATCCTTTCACCATCCAAGGAACAGTCCGTATGCTAAGCGAATCATCTGAGATATATGCTTCAGGGTAGGGGTACCCAAAAGAGGACTCCACATAAAAATTACTTTTGGTCAAAGTGACTCCTTTGCTCATCATAAAAATTACGTTTGGTCAAAGTGACTCTTTTGAGAAGTCTTTAAATCGATCACAGAGTCCAGTGTACATGCCTCAGTGTACACAGCCTCATTTGTCAATTCTTACATGTTGAGAATCTCTGAACTAAACTAAAGGAAGGAGCAGAAATAAGATCTACTTGCAGACAGATCAGCTTAGAAACCTTTCTGCCTTTAAAACAGTGGCCAAATTGTCCTTGTTGTGTGGGTGTAAAGAGGAGAAATTCTAAGTGTTGCTGCTGGCCTGCAGGTTATTTTCTTTTCTCCTTTATAGCCAAAGCTCTATTGCAATAAATGAGCTAATAGAAGTGTTTATTGTTGAGAATATTAAAAAAAATATTTTTTCATGACAGTCATGGGCTCTTGTTACAGAATGGGTAGGAAGGGAATCAATTTTTCTTGATATTCCTTTAATCGGAGTAGTACTTGCTCATTGCAGTAGCAGACTCATTCGTTATTACATTTTTTGCATTTGCTTCTAATCCTATGTGCCAAATAGTATTCTATGTGTTCCTCACAACAATCTTATGTTGTAGTTACAATAATTCCACCAATTTGACAGATGAAGAAAGAGAGGCATTGACAAGTGGAATAACTTGCCAAGATCCCAGGGCAATTCATGATGGGGCCATATTCATGGATCTAGTGGCCATACTCTTAAAATAACCTTCTAGAATTTTTCTGGTGCTTCTGCTCAGGTCTTCTTCTCTGGCCTGGGTCAATAATAGGTGTGTGGTTTCTTGGTTCCTATGATTCAGTTTCTTAGTGGCCTACTAAGTCCCATCTTTCATATTCAGAGACATCAACAATAGGTCAGTAGACACTTGACAGCTTTGATGACGGTTGTTTAAGACCGATGACTAACCCCTTTTGTGTCTTGCAACCTAGGCATGCTTCAGTGGTCCCTTGCTGACAGTGCTTCTTCCCTACAGCCCTACCCACTATAAACTTAGACAAGGCTATCTGGAAAAGAAAATCCCGGTGTCTTCTGATGGGTACTGACTCCACACAGCACTCATCATTGGAAATGGGCAATTATATGGCAATACTTGTAGTGACCCCATGATATCCTAGACATTCCAGGGTTGGTGCTCTTTTTCAAGCCATTTTGAAAAAGAAAGATATGGGAATGACTGTGCATAAGACGGTAGAAAGGAATCTCAGTGTGGCGATGGAGGCTCAGGATTTCAGGGTTGGTAGAAACATGAGACATCCAACAAAATTCAACAAAAAGTTTGAGCTTTTCATTAGGATTCAGAGAAAAGTATACAGAAGCCTCTTTGAAGCTGTGTAGCTCAAGAAGAAGGTGATTGTCCATGGGTACAACGGGGACAGAAAGAGTCACGATTCCCTCGGCCCTACTACTCTCACGTTTGCTTTGTCTTGATTTCTACTTTCATCTGACTGTCCTCCTCGAAACGGTAGAGTGGTCCCAGGAAGAAGAAGCATGGGTCTCCAGGTCAGTTTACATTTTCATTTTACAGCAAGCAAATTGTGATGTCCCCAACGTTGCTTTGCTTTCCTTCACCAGCAAGATACCAGGATGACTGCAGCTCTGCCCAAGCTGGACCTCCACGTGATCCCCGTGTGGCAAAAGGGCATTACTGGCAAGGGAGTGGTCATCACTGTGCTGGATGATGGCCTGGAGTGGAACCACACGGACATCTATGCCAATTATGTGAGTGTGGGCCTTCCCAGGACCACGATGTCGGGAGCTCTCTGCAGACACAAAACGAGGGGCTAGCTCGCTGGTGGTGTACTGGGTTATGTGCTGGACTGTGTTATGAACACAAGGCCAGCAGTTGATTCCCCCAACTGTTCCCCAGAAGAAAGGTACAGATTTCAGCTCCCCTAAAGATTTGCAGCTCGAAGAGATGGTTCCAATGTGTCCAGTTGAGTTGCTGTGCATTGACATTGAGTCCATGGCAGAGGGTTAGTGTTTCCCTTTTCAAGAGGACCTCTCTGACCTTGGCCAAAGCTTCATCCCTTCCTTCACCCTTCCTCCTTTGGAGCCTGGGAATTGCGCCAGGGAACCAAGGGCTGCATAAGCAAATGTGGGTTTTGAGACTCCAGGCACAAAGTTTTCTAGATGATTGGGGCTATTCAGACTCTGAGCCACTCTATCTTAGGCAAGCCAATCAAGTCCAAGGCCTGAGGTCGTTTTGTTTGTTTGTTTGCAGTCTCACTTCTCGCTCTCCTTATAGGTCAGTATCTCTGACATTGAAACATTGTATACATATGATTCTCTCAGGCAAACTGCGAGTGTACATCACATGGTATAAAAACGCCAAAAGGAGAAAGGAAAATAAATAAATGAAAAGTATTTGTATAATTGTTTATGGAGTTCCCCATAACATATCTTAGGGAGGGGCTATTCCTTCTTTAAGATTGTTCTCTCTCTCACACACACACACCCTTTCTGCCCATCCAGGATATACCAGCCATGGTGCAAAACTAAGAAACCAAGGAAACAGGAGGGGGAAGAAGGGTGGAAAAGAGTAGGAGGAGTCATTACTGAAAGATAAGGGAAGTCTTGAGCAATAGCAGGCATGATCAGAGACAGAATTCGTATGTGAGAGATCAGTGAATGTAGCAGCCCTGGTTGGAAAAGGGGGTAGACGTGGAGGCCTGCCTTGCATTTCAAACACATTCTCTACTTAAATTATATGTTGTTACAAGAGTTCATGATGGGACTAAAGGAGATTGTGGTAAACCTATGCTTAAGCCTCAACTGACTTTTTATACAAATGTTAATAAGAAAATGAGTGTCGGTGTGCTGCTAACGGTGTGCCTTTGAAGTTTTCACTGAATTGGGCCCCAATTTTCTCATCTTAAATAGGAGGTTGTTGAAGTAAATCCATTCTCATTCCTTTCAGCTTGAATCCATGTGCCTCTGAGCTCGAAGTTCAGTAGCATTCACTGAGAAGTGGATGCTGGCTTGTGTTGCTCTGCCCATCAGCTGTGCTTGGTTTATGGATGTAATAACTGGGCAGGGATTGTGCCAGCCACGCTGAAGTACAAGCTGTTGTCCAGCATGGGAGATGGGTAGGGTTAGGGGGCTTGGGAAGTGCTGCTTCTATTGTGGTGTGCCAGTGTTATATCTGTTGTCTCTCTAGGATCCAGAGGCGAGCTATGATTTTAATGATAATGACCATGACCCATTTCCCCGGTATGATCCCACAAACGAGAACAAGTGAGTAAATGTGTGTTTTTGGAAATGAAGTACTTTAAAATGCTTCTGCTTATTTGAGAAAATTATACTGTAAACATGATGTGCATTCAGCTTTCAGAAAATGTCATCATCCCTATCACAATATTTTGTTTTGAAACCGAAACAAAAGCTTCTATTTTTACACTCCCTTTGTTTATAAAGCCATAGTTCAATTAAACAGTCTTCTTACGTGATGAAATTCTCTCTTCAAGTGTGACCCAAGTAGTTGCAATGGTAGAAAGAATGAAAACCTTGATCCCCCCTCCTCATCTCCACTGATTCCTCCATGGCTTTTACAGTGTTAACAATGTGCTTGATGTAAGTCATGGAGCGAAATGAAGATTAGCCAGATAACAAATCTGCCACGACTTGCTTTGGGGCCCACAAGCACCCTCACTGGTACTGCCAGAAGAGTGTGCCATCACCAGGCAAGGGAAACACACCCTGAGATCTCCCCGCAAATCTAAGGAGTCCTTAGGCTTTGGACTGATTAACTAAATGCTCCACAGTGCCTACGGAGTGTTCCAAATCCAGGGGAAGAGACCGGTGTTAGTACCAGACTCCTAAGTTAGCTCTCTCTCTAGCAGTCACAGAAGATGAGGGAGGTCAAGAGTCAGATCTTCCGAAGCAGGTCTTGGAGGCTAAAGACTTTTTAACACTAATACTCTTTGCAAGCCCCAAAGATACGTCACTCACCAAGCCGTTGGTCTCACATTGTTCGAGCCCATATAAAAATTCATCTTTGCTTGTAGTGAAATTTCTTACAGATTTCAAGGAGACATTCAAATTTTCATTTTCCTTTGCTCCACGCAGAAGAGGCTTGCAGCAAAACAGATCAAGGTGAAGCTCAAAATGAAGGCTTGGTGTTTAGGAATAGGAATTGGAAGTGCAAAGCAACGAAAAGCTCACATGAAGTGTGGAGAGCTCTCGCACGCAGTTTATTTGCTAGCCAGTCAACTCGGGTCAACCAAGTTCTCTTTCGCTCTCAGAGCTCTCGGGTGTCTTGTAGAGGATTGTGTCTTCCTCTGGAGGGTCTCCTTTCCAGAGAGCCAAGCAGCACTCAGGAAGGGAGGCTCGGTCCCCCACCTTCTGGGTGTATAATTCTTCCTTGGGGAAAAGAGGGAGTTAGTGGAGAGTTTAAAGACAGCCTTTGTTTTCAGTACCATTTATTTCTTCAAGGTTGTAAGAGGCTAACCTTAAGCATTTCATTGAGGTTGGAACTTTCCAGTAACATTGCTGCAGAAGAACACTAGATGGGCCCCAGGGAAACTTGGAGTGTCTCAGGAGATTTTATCCTGGCTCTCAGGATATTTCTGAATCAGGGCAGTGCAAAACCGGAAGGAACATCTGCTCTTTTAGAACACAGACTTATAATTTTAGCCTGGCTATCGTCAGGGCTCTGCCAAATACTATGATCGAGGTGAACTGGGGAAATCACCTCTTGTACAGGCAGTCCATGTGTGACAAATAACTTCCACCCCTTAATCTGTCTTTAAATTGAATTTTTATGTAAATCAGAGCAGCAAGGTACAGTTTGTTTCTAAAGTCAGTTCTTCAAATGTTACTCTTCATATTTAGTACACAGTGTAATTTTGTTTGCCTAAGAAGCATTAACAAAACACTTCCAGAGGACCAAACCACCTTTACATACTACAATACGAATGAAGATATTTAGATGTAGGGCACAAAAGAGTACCTGTTAGTTGTTAGGAACCCCTGTGCCCACTTCAGATTTGCAATATGATAGGTTATGCAAGGTTGTCATAGGCTGTTCGTAGTCTGGGGACTGCCTGTAGTGCCCTCTCCTCCTACAATGGGCCGCAAACTATCCGTGCCTATTTTTATGAACGACACTTCTTCAGGAAGGAGGGAAGATGTAGGGAGAAATAAGCACCCTTCTGAGGATAGAGAGAAAGCAAAAAGCAGAAAACACTACTTTCATTCTATCCCCTTGGTCTAGACTGAGAAGACAACTTGCTTTCATACCCATGGGTGAGCACTTCCGAGATTGTGCCCGGGGTGCTCCCCTGTGTGGTGGCCATGCAATCGGTGATTGTGTCCTAGAAGGATCGAGTCGAGTCCGTCATTGAGGCTCTGTAGAGTCTCTCCACTTACCCGAGTCTCAGTCCTCCATTTCCAATGTTGAAGCAGAAGGGATCTCGTAACATCGATAATAGACGCATTTCTCCCTATGTAGGGAGCTCTAACACTGTTAAGGAAGCAGCCCATCTAACGAAATGCATTTTGTTTCTGAAAATTCTGAGCTTCAAAATGTAACCTGCCATGGAAAGTCGCAGAATATACCATTAGCATCGTACAGCTACACACACTTAGAACTGGTGTTAAGCAAATCTTAGATCTAGCACTCAATGGGAGAGTATGACCTTGAGCGACTTTCTTAACCTTGTTGTACTTGGCTCTTAGAGAGGGAGAGTAGTAGAATCTATTTTTTGATTGATTATGAGGATGACATGAATTTACACATGCAAATGACTTGGGCAGTGGCGGTAGATAGGGCATATTGTATATGATATGTTTGCTCTGAGGCTGAGGATAACAAAGACAATGAGAAAGATTTCTCATTTAGCAAAGACGGTAGACCCTCCTTCCAGTGAGAAATTGGTGTGACAAGAATGACATCGCCCAGTAGGAACTGAAACTGAGACAATTCCCTAGGCCAATTCAGAAGCTGTCATTTGAAAATTGACATAAAAGCAACTATCACTAGTGTCTCTTGACTATCAACCAACAAGGTAGCATGCCTTTTATTTAACAGAAGGGATCATGAAAAGTAGAGTGACAGTTCTAGTATGTTGTCAGAAGAACAGGAATGACTTCATTTTATACGGGCCTTTTAATAGCAATTAGAGGCCCATTATGCCCCAGTTTGGAGGGCTTTATCACTCCAAGCTATCTGCACCACCGCTGCTGCTCTGTTACAGTGTCAGTGAGATCAATGAGTCATATGTGAACCCTCCTTTGCAAGTCAAAGTGGAAGCACAGAAGACCGAAACCTGAAAAGCACAGTAACTCTTACTATTAAATGGGCTGGAGTCTGTATTCAGGATTGTAATGCCAATTATGACTGTTTTTCTAGCTAAATAACTTATGTGACAAGGATATTTTAACCCTAATAACAGTGGTCTTTAAACTCTCATGTGGGATAACTTCAAAAAATCAATTTGTTTCAGTGCTTGTTACGACTAACATTGTTCTGAAATAAGAGAGGGCTCCGTGATCTCAGTGCCCGACTTAAGGAAAGAAAACGAACCACAGGATTGACTACAAAGAATAACACAGCACCACTTTGATAAAGTCTCCTTTTTCCTCCCTCTCAAGTTGTAGAGGTGGGAGTGAGGATAAAGAAGGACAAATTATCAGTGCACCCTTGAAACATGACACCACCACGGCTTTTATGAGGGGACAGCAGTCAGTCCTCATCTGTAAAGGGGGATAAAAAATGGACGGTGTCCCATGAAACCATTTTGAGGACAGGGGCATAATGCCGAGTGTATCTCACACCAGGTGGCTTCAGGTGTTGGTTCAGGATAGAGATGGCACTGGATTCTTAAATGCTTATCTTTGGCCTATTCAGAGTCCTGACTCCCAATGGATGAAAATGGGAATATAGGCGGTGGACTTCTAGGACATGTTTCTCAGAGGATGATTATGGAAGGTCCCTGTAGACAGTCTAAAAAGACCAAAAGGGCCAATCCATCAAGGGACCCTAAGATGTGAATGCCTTTCTCAGAGAATGGCGTGCTTGTTAGAAAGCTTCCTTGGCAAGTAATAGAATTCTGACTTAAGTTGAAGTAGGATTGGATTTATTTTTTTTTCTGTATTTCTTTTCAATTTTCTCAAGGCATGCTGTAGCTTCAGGTATCACCAGATCAGGAACTGAGACAATAGGTTGTCAGTCCACCTGCCACTCTCTCACCACCTTCTAGTGTGTCTCCCCACCACTTAATTTTATTCTCCAATAGGATCTTGGCATGCGTCTTGATGCACAAGGCTCTCATGACACTTTAAAGCTCAGGATTCCTGACAAAGAGTTTAATTCTCTTCTCCAGAATTTGCATCAATCCTTGCCAACATTCTGAAGAGAAGGTCTAGCACCAGAGAATCACAAGAGTGAAGGAGGGCCACTTCTCATCAGGGAAAAAGCCCAGCTGCCAAAGCAGCAGCAGCAGCAGCAGCCAGTTAGTTGTATCAGGGAAGACCTGGAGTTAATGATAATTGTATTGATCTAACGTAAGACTTTAGTCATCACATGAGGAGTAGGAATGTCACTTAGTGGAAGTAGACCAGGAAATCATCTTCCGTACTTCTGGGGGAAAAAAAAAAAAAAGATAAGTGACCACTATTATTTTGAATGGCTCAGTCAATTTAGAATTTTAATATTTCATGCAAGACAAAATTAATAGATGGGCAGTACAGTAATGCTTAACATTAGCTGTCCAACAGCATTTCTCAGCATTGATCCTCCCTCCTTTTCCCTTGATGTCAGCATATCCGATCAATGGCTCCTGTAAACCACCAACAGCCCTTATGTTGCTCCCAGATGCTCTCACAGTGGAAAAACTTGGAACAAACAAACAGATCACACAGTTGTGCTCTCCTGGTATTAGAGAGAAAGTTATTTTTATTGCCAGAATTCCAGGATTGCTCAATACCACATATCATTTGATGTCTTGACTGGGTTTCTGAGTGTTGAATGTGGATCCAAGAAAAATTAAATCCTTGAACATGTCAAGCTCTTCTCTGTTTATCACGAGGCTGTCTATTGGTTTAGCACCAGGGAATGTGCAGATGTTTTAGTCTGTTGCATGGTTAGAGGATGGAATTAATAAGAGGAGGGGGACCGGAATGGGAACTCTACCCAGCCATATCCTACTAGGATTGGCGCAAAATAATCTAGCTACTCTAGTTTGACACAGCCACTGGGAAGCAAAGTAAAGAGTCCCTTCACTAAGAAAGAGTGCGAAGCGGAAATCGAAACAGGAGTAAAAAAGCTCATCTTTCTCCTATGGAGTAGGTGGTGGCTTTGAACTGTGGACCTTATGGTTAGCAGCCCAACATGTAACACACTATGCCACCAGAGCACCAAATTCTCTAACTGTACGTTCGAAAGAAAAAGAGAAGTTTGTTAGAGGTTTGTTGACACCAGTAAGGGGTCCAACTGCAGCTCACGCTTTCTTACTGGAATCCTGTCGGAAGCAGAACACACAGAGATTATGTACAGCACTGTGGAATTCACACCCTGGGAGAGGCCTGGATCTTTCCAGATGGCATACATTAACTCAAGTGTCAGGATACTCACAGGATGCAAGAGCAAGCCAACAAAACAATAAAGTCCCTTAAGTAGGGTGCTAAAGGTCACACTGAGCTGGAATTAACTTGCTAGCAATGAATTTTGAATTCTAAGAGGTCTGAGGGCAATTTCAATATATCTCTGCTGACAAATAAAAAAAGGAAGAATTAGCTTTTTGGCTGCCAAAAGTCAGGTGAGGCAAGTAAGAGGAATTTATGATGTTGAACGGTCTTCTTCAATGTCCTGATGAGCCTCGGAGTTATCTGAACTACCTTCCAAGAGACAGACATTCTCATTTAGTCTGGCTGCCTCTGACCAATATAGAAAGTCATAAAAGTTCCAGAGAAAGCGAGATGGGAGACAGGGAAAACACGGCAAAAGTTAGGTTGACTACAGTAAGTTTGGCTTTAATCGCGAACACTGACGGAGTCCTTCCTACATACCAGCCACCGTTCTATCCTATGTAATAACAAGTGCTCTTTATCACCAACTTTTGAAGATTAAGTAACTTATGCAAGATAACAGTGGCAGGAACTGGAATTTAAATTCAGAGTCTGGTTCCGTTGCCCTAATCTGAAGAAACACTTCATCTAATATCAACATGAAGAAAACCAGCAACAAGGCTTATCAAAGACTAATATACGCTATGCCATGGATCCATATGCAACACGAATGTTTGATGCTATATTAACAATGCATAATCCTTGTTTTTAATCCTCAGACATGGGACCAGATGTGCAGGAGAAATTGCCATGCAAGCTAATAATCACAAGTGTGGGGTCGGAGTTGCATACAATTCCAAAGTTGGAGGTAAAGCAAGGGTTGTTGTTTCTATGGGTTGGTGTCATCCCGTGTAGATGGGGTGGGTCTTGTATGTTCCACCATCAGAGGAGAGAATAAATACACTTCAGGCAAAACTAGCTGTCGGGTTTGAGGGTGATTTGCAATCAAATCAGTGGAATTGTACTCAGAGAACATGTTACTGTTGTTCAGGGCCGTTGAGTTGACTGCAGCCATAGTGACCCCGTGTATACTAGAAAAGAACGTTGCCCAGGCCTGCGGCGTCCAGGCCATGGTTCTGTTTGAACTCTTGGTGGTAGCCACGGCATCGATCCATCGTGTGCAGGCGCTCCCTTTTGTTCACCGACTTGACTGAGCAGGATGTGCTTTGTCCAGCCTCTTTTCATCACGTGTCCAAAGTATGGGAGATTAAGTCTCCTCATCTCACTCCCAGTGAGCCTTCTGGCTGTACTTCTTTCAACGCAGACTTGTGTTTTCTTCTGGCCACCCACGGTACTTTCCATATTCTTCACAGCAGCACAGTCAAACACATCCATTCTTCTGTAGTCTGAGGAATTCCTGGTCCAGCTTTCCCCCCACATGCATCTGAAGTGATTGAAAATACCTTGGCTTGGCTCAGGTGCACCTTAGTCATTAAAGTAACGCCTCGTTTTTCAGCACTTTAAATAGGTCTTACACACCCGTTTGCCCAGGGAAATATGTTATTTGATTTCTTAACTGCTTTTCCTATGAGTGTTTATTTTGGAGCCAAATAAAATGAAATCCTTCAATCCAACAATGTCAATCTTTTCTCTGTTTAGCAGGATATTGATACTGTTCTAGTGGTGAGGATTTGTGTTTTCTTTACATTGGCCTAGAACATAGATAGCTGGGTATAGCTCATACACCTTTGTAGGGACAAAAAAACACATGGAAATGTTGGATCGTTTTTTACCAAATCTAATTTCTGTGTGTTCTCATTTAGATGGGTTCCTTATTGATTGAGCTCTTGCTAAGAGAATAGAAAATCAGAAGAGGGAAAAAAAATTGCCACTGAGACTATTTCAACTCACTATGATCCTGTAAGACAGAGGAAAATTGCCCTGAGGATTTCCAAGGCTTTGGAAGCAGATTGCTTATCTTTCTCCCATTGGAGTGACTGTGATTTCGAATCATCAATTTTTCCCTTAGCAGCCAATCACTTTAAGCTCTGTGCCACCAGGGCTTCTTAAGGGAACATGAAAAACAAAAAAGCTAAAACAAACTCATGTAATCAGGCTGATTCTGAGTCCTTGCAAGCCTAAAGGACAGGGCAGAACTGCCTTCTGGGCTTCCAAGTCGGACATCTTTCCAGGAGCGCAGCGCCTCAAGTGTCTCACAAAGGGACCCGAAGGAGGAGGCGGATTTAGCCAAAGACTTCCACTGCTTCTCACTTCTGCAGTTCTTCACTTCACAGCAAAACAGTTTAGAAAAGGAAAAGGGATGCAGAAGTGTTATATTAAGAAACTAAAGATGATGTTTGATAGCAATTTGAATCTCTATTTGTCTCAGTCAGAGCCCTTACAGAAAACATACAGTGCACTCCGCCAGGGTAATTGAGAGCAATTTTCTGAAGGAATTGTTCACAAAGGTTAAAAGAAGCCAACAAGAGGCTAGTAAGTTTAGTCAGATGTTACTACCTTAGGCCTGAAGGAGTCAGGGAAGACAGGTAGCAAGTGAGCGCCAGAGAGAGAGCAGGGGTGCTGGGGGTGGGGGTGCCATAGAAAAGCCACTGGGCAGAAGCCAGGACCTTCTAGGTCAGCAGGGATGCCTCACTCCCCTCCCACCTCCTAACTTCCTGCAGGTGTATTCAGGAGGCTGAATTCAGGGAAGCTGGAGGTCAAGGGAGCCCTTTGAAGTAGTTCCAGTTCCAATGGAGAGGGGAAGAATGTGGATCTGCCGGGCTGACAGGGAACACACTACTTGTCTCACCTTTGTACACTAACTTCGCCTCAGGCTTCATGGTTATACTGCAGACTTTTAGTTTCCCCAAACTATAACAACAACAAAAGGCCGATTGTCAATCACACATCAAGTACAGTAAAACCCCGCCCTGTGTGCTTTTTGAGAAACCAAACAAATGCATATCATGGCGTAGATAATGCATCCCCCACTGGTCAGGCACTCTTTGATTTTGAATGTCATGCTGACCCTTTGATGTTGGCATCTTCAAAGTGCCACATGTAATTACCTGCAGAATGAATTCATTTTTAAGGCACGAGGAACTAGGTAGCTACCGATTGTGAGATTGTCCTCTGATTCCGTCATTTTATAGACGAGGGATCAGAAGCAAGGCACTCAGACGACAAGGGCCAGTTGGTGGCTGTGTAGAAGGGATCTTACTGATTCCATGCCCAGTGCGTTATTTTTCCTTTGTTGCTCTAGCCCCCAATGGATTTTAAAACAATTTCTTTTACAAATAATGACTATAACTTATGGTGCCAATCACATAGGCTTTTGGTTTTTTTTTTAACCTTTGTTACCTGTGTTAAACAATGCCTACGAGTACTAGTGTGAGAAATGAGTGCCTACTCCATTGCGCTTTTACCCAGAAGCCAAGACTAACCAGGTAACTGCTTATATCTTGTGTTCGCCTCCCTGGCTCTGAAATTCACGAGTCTGCTGCTGGTCCACGGCCTGTTGGAAAGAAAGCCAGAGCTCTGCCTCCTCCTCCCAATGACAGATGACCCCCTCCGGAGTAACATCTCTGGCAGTGAATTCATCCTTGAGATTATTTAGAAGAAAAGGAAGCTTGTTCCTTGAGAATGTTCCTTAGGAAACACGTAAAAGCATGGCCTGCAGGTTATTTTTAATCAGTGCTTAGAACAAGGGTTCTTGCCTTATTTGTCAGTTTCCTTTTGTGCGTGCAGCTTTTCAGGCTTCAAGGTTTCAGTAGAGGGCCTTGTGTATCGCGCAGGCTGGGCCACAGCCATTGATGGCGTGGCCCTGAAAGACAGCTCTTTGAAGGGTTTTTTATGAAAGCTGTATTGTCATGGGGTGGTGGAAGAAAGGAAAAGCTGAGCCATTCTCTGATCAGCAACACCATGGCCACTTCCTCTTGTCCAACAATGCCAGGCCCCCTCAACGTCAGGAGGATTCCTGGGAACAGAGTCTTTCATGGGACAAATAGTCAGGACAACCTGCATGGTGCTCTTAGTTCTTTGTCACTGGGCAGGAAGGAGGCCTTGGGGACAGTGACTTGTGCCTTCTTTCTGTGTTCTTAGCAGCTGGATTGTGGGCATTTAGGACACCCAATGGCTATTATCTTTGTGACTCTTTTGAGAGTCCATTCACAAGGCGCCTATTAAGACAGGTACACACGGACATCAGCATATGTGTGTTTGTTTCTTACTGTGCAGGCATCAGAATGCTGGACGGTATTGTGACCGATGCTATTGAAGCCAGTTCCATAGGCTTCAACCCCGGACATGTGGATATTTACAGTGCCAGCTGGGGCCCTAATGATGATGGAAAAACTGTGGAGGGGCCTGGCAGACTAGCCCAGAAGGCGTTTGAGTATGGTGTCAAACAGGTGAGATGCTTAACAGAGACTTAACCAGGGATGACACAGAGTCTTTCCATACTAAGGGGAAGGAAGAACACTAGGATTATAATGGGAGGCAGGAAAGGGGGACTGTGAATTTCTTGTCAAAGTGCTTCACAATTTTAAATGCATTTAAAGAGCCAAATCATTCTTCACAGAGATGGATGTTCAGGGTTAAGAGCATTTTCCCTGCTTGGAGCTAGAAATGGATAGAGTTTCACCCATTTGGATAGAGTTTAGGATCAAATGGATAGAGTTTAGGATCAAATTCAAAACTCAAATTCACTGCCATTGAGTGAAGGTGGACTCATAGCGACCCTATAGGGCAGGGTAGAATGGCCCTGTGAGTTTCTGAGACTGTAATTCTTTGTGGGAGTAGAAAACC